CATACCCCTAGACCACCAGCCATGAAACCTGAGTTTTATTTGGTGTGCAAAGTGGAAACAAAACTACAGATGCAACAAGGGTGGTAGATCTATTTGTTGACCCATGAGGAAAGCTTCGCTCATCCGGGATTTGAACCTCTCGCACCCAAAGCGAGAATCATACCCCTAGACCAACGAGCCATGGAACTTGGGTTTTATTTGGTGTGCAAAGTGGAAACAAAACTACAGATGCAACAAGGATGGAAAATGTATTTGATGAACCATGAGGAAAGCTGGGCTCATCCGGGATTTGAACGCAGGACCTCTCGCACCCTAAGCAAGAATCATACACCTAGACCAACGAGCCATGGTGTATGAGTTTTAGTTGGTGTGCAAAGTGGAAAGAAAACATGGTGTATGGGTTTTATTTGATAAGCCAAAGTGGAAACAAAACTACAGATGCAACAAGGTTGGAAAATTTAGTTGTTGAACCATAATTAAAGCTGGGCTCAACAAGGATTTGAACCCGGGACCTCTCGCACCTAAAGCGAGAATCATACCCCTAGACCAACGAGCCATGGAACATGTGTTTTCTTTTGGTGTGCAATGTGGAAACAAAACTACAGATGCAACAAGGTTGGAAAATTTAGTTGTTGAACCATAATGAAAGCTGGGCTCGTCCGGGATTTGAACCCGGGACCTCTCGCACCCAAAGCGAGAATCATACCCCTAGACCAACGAGCCATGGAACCTGGGTTTTATTTGGTGTGCAAAGTGGAACCAAAACTACAAATGCAACAAGGGTGGAAAATGTATTTGTTGAACCATGAGGAAAGCTGGGCTCATCCAGGATTTGAACCCGGGACCTCTCGCACTCTAAGCTAGAATTATACCCCTAGACCAACGAGTTATGGAACCTGGGTTTTATTTGGTGTGCAAAGTGGAAACAAAACTACAAATGCAACAAGAGTGGAAAATTTAGTTGTTGAACCATATTTAAAGATGGGCTCGCCCGGGATTTGAACCCAGGACTTGAACCAGGGACCTCTCGCACTCAAAGCGAGAATCTAGACCAACGAGCCATGGTGTATGGGTTTTATTTGATGTGCCAATGTGGAAACAAAACTACTGATGCAACAAGAGTGGAAAATTTAGTTGTTGAACCATAATGAAAGCTGGGCTCGTCCAGGATTTGAACCCGGGACCTCTCGCACCTGAAGCAAGAATCATACCCCTAGACCAACGAGCCATGGAACATGGTTTTTTTTTTGGTGTGCAATGTGGAAACAAAACTACTGATGCAAAACACATGGAAAATATAGGTGTTGAACCAAAATTAAAGCTGGGCTTGTCCAAGATTTGAACCCGGGACTTCTCGCACCCAAAGCGAGAATCATACCCCTAGACCAACGAGCCATGGAACCTTGGTTTTATTTGGTGTGCAAAGTGGAAACAAAACTACAGATGCAACAAGGGTGGAAAATGTATTTGTTGAACCATGAGGAAAGCTGGGCTCATCCGGGATTTGAACCCGGGACCTCTCGCACCCTAAGCAAGAATAATACCCCTAGACCAACAAGCCATGGAACCTGGGTTTTATTTGGTGTGCAAAGTGGAAACAAAACTACAGATGCAACAAGGGTGGAAAATTTATTTGTTAAACCATGAGGAAAGCTGGGCTCATCCGGGATTTGAACCCAGGACCTCTCGCACTCTAAGCAAGAATCATACACCTAGACCAACGAGACATGGAGCCTGGGTTTTATATGGTGTGCAAAGTAGAAACAAAACTACAGATGCAACAAGAGTGGAAAATTTAGTTGTTGAACCATAATGCAAGCTGGGCTCGTCCGGGAATTAAACCCGGGACCTCTCGCACCCTAAGCAAGAATCTTACACCTAGACCAATGAGCCATGGTGTATGAGTTTTAGTTGGTGTGCAAAGTGGAAATAAAACTACAGATGCAAAAAGAGTGGAAAATTGAGGTGTTAAACCATATTTAAAGATTGCAACCCCGGGATTTGAGCCTGGGACTTGAACCCGGGACCTCTCGCACTCAAAGCGAGAATCATACCCCTAGACCAACGAGCCATGTTGTATTGGTTTTATTTGCTGTGCAAAGTGCAAAAAAACTACAGATGCAACAAGGGTGAAAAATTTAGGTGTTGAACCATAATTAAAGCTGGGCTCGTCCTGGATTTGAACCCGGGACCTCTCGAACTGTAAGCGAGAATCATTCCCCTAGACCAACGAGCCATGGAACCTGGGTTTTATTTGGTGTGCAAAGTGGAAACAAAACTACAGATGCAACAAGGGTGGAAAATGTATTTGTTGAACCATGAGGAAAGCTGTGCTCGTCCGGGATTTGAACCTGGGACCTCTCGCACCCTAAGCAAGAGTCATACCCCTAGACCAACGAGCCATGGAACATGGGTTTTCTTTTGGTGTGCAATTTGGAAACAAAACTACTGTTGCAAAACACATGGAAAATATAGGTGTTGAACCAAAAGTAAAGCTGGGCTCGTCCGGGATTTGAACCCGGGTTGAAATTTGAGGTGTTAAACCATATTTAAAGATGGGCTCGCCCGGGATTTGAGCCTGGGACTTGAACCCGGGACCTCTCGCACTCAAAGCGAGAATCATATCCCTAGACCAACGAGCCATGGTGTATGGGATTTATTTGATGTGCCAAAGTGGAAACAAAACTACAGATGCAACAAGGTTGGAAAATTTAGTTGTTGAACCATAATTAAAGCTGGGCTCAACAAGGATTTGAACCCGGGACCTCTCGCACCCAAAGCGAGAATCATACCCCTAGACCAACGAGCCATGGAACCTGGGTTTTATTTGGTGTGCAATGTGGAAACAAAACTACTGATGCAAAACACATGGAAAATATAGGTGTTGAACCAAAATTAAAGCTGGGCTCGTCCGGGATTTGAACCCGGGACCTCTCGCACCAAAAGCGAGAATCATACCCCTAGACCAACGAGCCATGGAACCTGGGTTTTATTTGGTGTGCAAAGTGGAAACAAAACTACAGAGACAACAAGGGTGGAAAATGTATTTGTTGAACCATGAGGAAAGCTGGGCTCATCCGGGATTTGAACCCGAAACCTCTCGCACCCTAAGCAAGAATCATACCCCTAGACCAACAAGCCATGGCACCTGGGTTTTATTTGGTGTGCAAAGTGGAAAGAAAACTACAGATGCAAAAAGAGTGGAAAATTTAGGTGTTAAACCATATTTAAAGATTGCACGCCCGGGATTTGAGCCCGGGACTTGAACCCAGGACCTCTCGCACCTAAAGCGAGAATCATACCCCTAGACCAACGAGCCATGGAACATGGGTTTTCTTTTGGTGTACAATGTGGAAACAAAACTACAGATGCAACAAGGTTGGAAAATTTAGTTGTTGAACCATTATGAAAGCTGGGCTCGTCCGGGATTTGAACCCGGGACCTCTCGCACCCGAAGCAAGAATGATACCACTAGCCATGGTGCGTGGGTTTTGTTTGGTGTGCAATGTGGAAACAAAACTACAGATGCAACAGATGTGGAAAATTTAACCATAGTTAAAGCTGGGCTCATCCTGGATTTGAACCTGGGACCTCTCGCACCCAAAGCGAGAATCATACCCCTAGACCAACGAGCCATGGAACCTGGGTTTTATTTGGTGTGCAAAGTGGAAACAAAACTACAGAAGCAACAAGGGTGGAAAATGTATTTGTTGAACCATGAGCAAAGCTGGGCTCATCCGGGATTTGAACCCGGGACCTCTCGCACCCAAAGCGAGAATCATACCCCTTGACCACCAGCCATGAAACCTGAGTTTTATTTGGTGTGCAAAGTGGAAACAAAACTACAGATGCAACAAGGGTTGTAAATCTATTTGTTGACCCATGAGGAAAGCTGCGCTCATCCGGGATTTGAACCCGGGACCTCTCGCACCCAAAGCGAGAATCATACCCCTAGACCAACGAGCCATGGAACCTGGGTTTTATTTGGTGTGCAAAGTGGAAACAAAACTACAGATGCAACAAGGCTGGAAAATGTATTTGATGAACCATGAGGAAAGCTGGGCTCATCCGGGATTTGAACCCAGGACCTCTTGCACCCAAAGCAAGAATCATACACCTAGACCAACGAGCCATGGTGTATGAGTTTTAGTTGGTGTGCAAAGTGGAAAAAAAACATGGTGTATGGGTTTTATTTGATGTGCCAAAGTGGAAACAAAACTACAGATGCAACAAGGTTGAAAAATTTAGTTGTTGAACCATAATTAAAGCTGGGCTCAACAAGGATTTGAACCCGGGACCTCTCGCACCTAAAGCGAGAATCATACACCTAGACCAACGAGCCATGGAACATGTGTTTTCTTTTGGTGTGCAATGTGGAAACAAAACTACAGATGCAACAAGGTTGGAAAATATGGTTGTTGAACCATAATGAAAGCTGGGCTCGTCCGGGATTTGAA